ATGATTATGATTAGAGAATTGGTAAAACAGTTGTCTTTTTAATTAATGAAACATTTTTTCAATGAAAATGATCAATTAATAAAAAAATATTTAAAAAACGCAGAAAACTGTAGAAGTATCAAAAGAATTAAAAACTATTTTTCAAACAAAAAAACATTAAAACTATAATATAATATAGCCATTTTCAAGTAAAGTTTCCTTACAAAAAAGACACTATCATCTTATAGAAAATAACAAGTCCAAGATCTTAAAAAAATTGCTATAAAACTAATAAAATATATATTAAAAATATGAATTTATTCAAGAAAAGCTAAACTTATGCTCCTCAAAAAATAATTTCTTTAATAAAATTATTAAAAAAGGATATTGCCCTCAAAATATGCACAAGAAAAGTCCCCCCCCAAAAAAAAAGAAAATCTGATCTTGAAATAGTTTTGCTTCCTTGCAAATCCACTCAAAGTTCTAGGCGACTCTCTTTCCTCTCTCTCTCTCTTTTTGGCCCCAAAGGCTTTGCCTCGTTTTTGGGGAGCTTAGAAAGAGCTAGGCGAGTGAGAGAGAGACACCGAGTGAGTGTGAGTGAGTGAGTGAGTGAGTGATTCGCACAAAAAACTGCAAGAGCAGCTTCTGCCGGCGTTGGCATCAGCTCTGCCAGCGGCCAGCTGCAGCAGCGCAGCGCGCACACATGCAAAATGCGTTTTGCACTCTTCGCTCTGTCAAAGAGGGGAGAAGGAGGAAAAGGAGGGGGTGGAGTGGGAGTAGGAGTAGCACCAAGGTGTGTGTGTGTGTGTGTGTGTGATGAGGAGTTCGCGCAGTGAGTGAGAAGCTCACATTTCGAGTGGAGTTTTTTCGCTTTTTTCCAACTGAACTTACATATTTTTTTTTTTTTGTTTTTTGCATTCTGCGTTGTGTAGTGTGTAGTGAGTGAGTGTGCAGGGGGCGACACTGGATGTGTGTGCATGTGCATGTGTGAGCTAGTGTTGGTGTGTGTGTGTCTGTGTGTGTTGGTGTCCGGCAACGTAAGCGAAACGTTCACGAAACGAAACGTATCGAAAACGTATTGAATCATAACAGATCCGCACGTTGTCGCGTTCGTACGCAATTCGCGGAAGAATATCCAATCTCTCTCTCTCTGTCTCGGCTAAACAAAAAAAAAAATACAAAATACAAATAAAAATATACAAAATAAAAATAATAATAAATCATAAAAAAAGAATAATAATAATAATAAATAACAGCAGCAACAATTTTAAATTGCAACAACTGATACAACATCAACAACAACAACAGCACACCAACAGCCAGTAACAGCAAATCACAACAACACACCAACATACAACCAATAATTCCATTAATACAAAAGGAAAAAAAAGGAAAACAAAAAAGTAATCAAGATATTTACAAAAATATTTAAATTCGCAATTGTAATAATCCCAAAATATTTATCCTTCGCGACGTGTAATAAATATATATTTTTTTCTGGTGTTGAATCCTGTTTTTTCTGTTTTTATCCTCTCTGAACATAAAAATATATCTCTTGAAAAGTGAAAACTGCAGCCAGAATTTTTCAGAGATTTTAAAATAAATAAAAACAAAAGTGTTTAACCAGTGTTTAAAAAAAAATTACTTGAGGATTTTTCTCTAGGATTTTTTCAGTGACTTCTCCAAAGTGTTTTTGATCCTATGATCACTGGAAGGGATTTTTTAAGCCAATCTTCAAATTAATGTAACATTGAGGAGTTTTAAGGATTAAAATCAAAAACAATGTGAAAGCTTCTTTTTAAGAAATTGTATGAATTAAAATGCAAGTGTTTGAAAATAAAATAATATACTTGAATTAAATTAAATTAGAAGAAAGACAGTGACAGGAATTTGTGTATTGAAAATATACATTTGAAAATATAATTGAAGTCTTAGAAAAAATAAATTACTCAAATTTTAATAATTTAATGAATTTATAAAGTGTTGAGTATTTTGAGATACAAATGTGGCACTTGAAAATCATTTTTAAAATAGAAATATTGTGCTTTTGGAAATACCTTTGATATTCGTTGATCAGATAAGATAAATCATAACAAAGCAGAACCTTAAATTAAATACATTTTTATTCGAGATAAAAGCCTTGTTTTAAAACTGTATTAGAAATTGTTTATAATTGGAAATGTTTGTAAATGGAAATCTCATATATATTACTTCTTTAAAAAGAGAATTCGTTGCATATACTTGTGAAATATTGCCAAAAAATTTGGATTACCTAAACAATGTTTAAAAAGGTTTTTAAAATTTTTTAAACAAGGATATTTTCTAAGGCTTGAATTGTATATTTAATTTTTGGTGTAGAAAAGTTCATATAAAAATGTGAGAAGACACAGTTTTTAATTTGCAAAACGGAAGGAACTCAAGGAAGATCACTTAAAAAATATAATCATTAATATAAATGTATATTAAAAGATATATGTGTATATTTAAGGTTACCTATTTGAATCTATTCCTTTAAATCTTGTGAATTGCGTGCGAGTGTTATTAAGTTAGTTTTGAGAAAGTTAAAATTGGTTACTAATTCCCGACGGAAAAATGTAAAAAGCATTAAGAGAGCAGTTTTAAGTTAGGAAATACATGATTCATTTTTATTAAGTGAAATATTTGAACACAAGTTGGAGATGTTATGTATTTGGCAAAGAAATAGTTCAATTTATTTACCAATTTAAAATTTATTTATATTTATCCATATATATCCTTTTTTATGAGTGTTTGAACTGATTCTCCGCCATAGTTAACCCGAGAAAATTATAAACATAAAGTTTGTGAATTCTGAGAACTCATGAAATGTTTTTAATATTATTTAATTTAAAAAGTGTCATTGTTTAAATAGTTTTCATTAAAATGTATGTAGTTTTATGCAAAATATTCCAGATTCGTTGACTTTTCATCTATAAAAACCATTTCTTATGGTTTATTATTAATATTTTTGTATTATTATGAATTTTAAATTTTTTGGTTGCATAAAATAGTATTTTTATGGTTTTTAAATATTTAAATAGAGTTTCAAGCATTCTGCTAAAGTTTTTATGCTTAAAAGTGCACTATAAATACCCAATTTAATAATTAATTTACAATATAAAATAATATTTAATTAATATTTAATTAAAAAATTCATTAATTTATAAGGAATTAATGAAAATATTGATAATTTTTTGTGGTTAACATATGGCAGACTATATTCTTTAGCCCCAAAGTCCCTCTCATCCCCTCCCCCTCACTCACTCTCTCTTAGCCCTTATGATATGTTGCATTTCGGCTAAATTACGCATACGCCGCATTGTCCACTCCAAAGAGCCACAAAGCTAGAGAGAGAGAGAGTGAGAGAAAGAGAGAGAGAGAGAGAGAGTGGCTATGAAAGAGCATAGCCTTTGAGTTGCATTTTTTTGTTGGTTCCCAAAGAGAGCTAGAAAAGAACTCAAGCTGCAGTCGCTGCGTTTTCCTTTGTGTTGCTCTTTCACGAAGCGCGTGCGGCGCTCTTAGCACTAATACCGGCACACACACACACACACACACACACAGGCAGGCAGGCATCTTCCATGGGAGCCATTCGGGCTGCAAAAACAAAAAAAAAAGGAAAAGGAAAAGAAGAAAGAGCACGAAGAGCCGAGTTCGTGGCCGACGTTGCAGTCGCTGTCGCTGTTGACGTCGCTGCGCTGCTGCTGCTGCTGCTGCTTCTTCTTCTGCCACTCGCTCTCCTTTTGGCACAAAATTCTCTTTGGGCTTTTTTGGGTTTTTGGCCATGCTTTTTCGGCTCTGTCGGCTTTGGACTTTCGCAGAGATTTCACACGCGATGCGATTGCAGTTCTTGCAGACACTTTCATACGTTCGTTCGTGTTTATTTTGGTTGAAAACGGATGTCACTAAAAAAAAATAATACAAAATTAAAATTAAAACTTTGTTGTTTAAATATTTTTCGGAAACCCTTTGAATATAAATTTATTAGCTTTATTTTTTATTACAAAATATATTCAATATAAAAAACAAACGTCAGGACTTTTTGCGCGCGCGTTTCGTGTGTTGTGAGTTAAAATAACGGTGAAAGAAACAACCAACGTCTTACTGTCTCTGTCTTTCCCCAAAAAGCGAACTATAATTCTCAACTTTTTGTTTTCCTCATTTTTTTTTTGCATTTTTTTCTAGTGATAAAGCGTCGGGTTAAACAAGTTCTCTCCTTTCTTTGAAAATCTATTAAAATATCATTATCCTCTTGCAGGCATAAACTCAAACACAACAACAACAGCAACCACAACAACAACAAAAATGTTTTATAAATATATTATTATCAAATAATAATAAAAGCGAAAGAAAAAGGGGAAATTAAGTAAAGCAAAGAAAAGTTTTTAAACGCAAGTCCTTTTTAAGAAAAAATCAAAGAAAACGTAATTTTTTTCGGCTGCTTTCAACAATGCAACAACAACAACAAAGGCAACAACTACACCAACTACAATTGCAACTACAACAACTAAAGCAACAAGAAAAGCTACAGCAACAACAACAACAGAAGGAACAACACCAGCAGGAACAACCACAACATCAACAAAAACAACAACAAAATCAACAACAACAACCAAATGAAACAAACCGACGTGTGTGTGTGTGAACAACTATTAGTAAAGAACTTTAGAGAAACTTACAACTCTTTCGATTTGAAGCCTCATTTTTCGAAACGAAGCGAACCCCTCTGAATTCATTTGTGTGTGTTTTTTCTTCTTTATCAATATATATATAGTAAATATAATTTTTTTGGCAAGTGTCACGACGAAAAACTAAAACTAACAAACATTTCATTTCACCATAACTTTCAACAACAACAACAAAAATAATTTTCCATTATCGGCATGCTGTAAGGTTGTGTTTTTTTATTACCAACAAATGGTTTTATGCTTAAACTTGATTTGATTTTGTTAAAACAACAACAAAAACACCAAACAAACCAAAATTGAAAACAATTTTTTCCAAGTGAACATTTTGTGCGAATCAAATACAAAAAAATATACAAGAAAGAAAGAATGGAAGCAGCAAAAATAAAGTGGCGAAATTAAATTGAAGGCGAAATTCTGATAAAATCCAAAACCAATTCAATGCAAGCCAAAAGTGCAACAAGAACAACACAAATAACAACAACAAATTCATCAACAACAAAAGCAACAACAATTACACCAACAAGAACGAGAACAACGTCTTGAAACTGCGGTGTTTGGCGTTTATGGTGAGTGTTTATTTAATTTAACAAAAAAAAGTAAGCTATAAAAATTATAAACTTTTTACCATTTTTTTTGCACTGAAAAGTATGTATTTAGTGTGTGCGTAGGCTGAAATCGTACATAAAGTGCTACTTGATAATAAAAGTGTTAAGTTGGCTTAGCCATAAATGGCCAAAGTGGCAAGTGCAAAGTGAGAGGCAAAGGAAAGTGTCAGGTAGAAAACTGGATGAAGTTTATTGTATTTTAAAAGAATAAATAAATTGGTTATTAAATATATGAATTAAAACGAAAAGGGGAAATAAACTTAGAATTGTAAAAAATATACATAAATAGCAGTTGATTTAATTTTAAAAAACCTTAGTGAATATGAAGGCTTGTCTAAATTGTTGATTATTCTTCTTATGGAAAATGAATGTACCAAATATTCTAGAAAATATTTAATTTCTGATTTTAAAAAATAGAAAATCTATAAAATATTTTTATCTTGTTCTTAAAAAATAGAAAGTCCATAAAATATAGAATTGCTTATTAGTAAAACAATACAGAAAATGTAAAGAATATTTAATATTAGGAAAATTGTTTTAAAAGGAAATCCTCAAAACGTTTACTAAACTTTTCTATAAATTAATATATATTTCCCCATCAATCTATATTTCATTTGCACAATATTTTCCATAAATATTCGATTTAAAAAAACTAAAATATTTGCCAATGAATCAATTTTTGCCTTTTGGCGTCGCACTTCCCGTTTGAACCGGATGTGCTTTTAGGAAAATTTGCTGAATGTTATCAAATATGTAAAATGAAAATGCATTTTTCTGGGCCACACACAAAGCGATCAGCAAACAAAAAAAAAATAATAATAATACAAAAAAGTTGCAAGAATCAACAAAAATAAAAAAGAAACAGCCAATCAATTAATTGGCAAAGAAAAAAAACTAAGAAAGAAAAAAAGAATATAAACTAAATGCTAAGTCAGTTTTAGAAAAGCGGAAAAAAGTAACTTGGCGGAACTTCCGGCGCCACAAAGAGGCGCCATCACTTTGCTTAGTTCATCGTGATTTTTTTTATACAAATGTATTTATATATATTTTCTTTCAAGTTGGTTATTAGGTATTTTATTTATTTATTAAATATGAAATTGGCTAAAAGAAATAGAGGCATAATAAGTAATTAAGGAAGATTATTAAGAAAGATTATAAAGGAAAATTATTATTTGGTATTTTTAGAAGTTTATTGAAGAAGTTTACAGTAAGCTGTATGAAAAATTATATAAATAAATATTATAAATTCTATACTAAACTGTTAATTTTTGTTATATTTGTATTAAATTAAATCATATTTTCCATCTTTAAATAAAAAATCCTCTTCTTAAGCTCGATTTCCTTGCTTCATTTTAAACCTACATGAAAAGAGATAGAGTTATATAAGAGAGAGAAAGATATCAGTTAACTATAACATGGGCCTTAACACATTGAAACGCACTGTCTAGCTATTCCCTCGAAACTGATCCTCTTCTCTACCTTTTTTTTTTTCCTATATTCATTCCCACATTGCTGTCTCGCAATTTTATTGCAATTATAAATATTTATAAGTAGTATCATTCCCCCAGCCAAGTTGTTTCTCTGATTTTGATTTATTTTTTGTTTGCAACTCCTAAAAAAAAATACTTAAAAAAGGGCGCAGGCTTAACAAGTTTGTATGTGAATTTTTAAATTTGATTTGGCAAAAAAAGGGTAAAAATATAAGAAAAACACCATTTAAATTTTCGTTTAATTTTAGAGTTACATTTACAAAAACAAAAATTCATTACAATACACGTAATTGCGTTTGCCTTAGTGCTGCTGTTTTTTTTTGTTGCTTCGTATTTTTTTTTATGTGCAACAGTTTTCATTTATGAGTGTTGTATGTTTTTTGTTTTGCTTTTTTCTAATTATTTTACCCGAGTGTGTGTGAGTGAGTGCAACTAATGAGCAACTGCCGGTCGGCTGAAATTATTAACTCATTATGGGGTCTCGGGTGTTTTAAGTGCCTCAAGTCAGCCTGTTTTGTTTCGTATTTTTTATAGTATTTTTTTCGCCTCTTTTTTCCGTATTTTTTTGTACTATTTTTTTTAATGGCTTGCGTGCGTTTTTTTGTCTTTTTTTTTTTAGTTTGTGCATAGTTTTTTTTGCAGTTTTGAATTGAATAAGGTGCAACATTGTTGGCGGATTCTCTTGTATAATTTTGAGCAGCAGCATTAATTGAAAAAAAATGGCCAAAGGGAAAAAATAAAAGGGAACATAATTATTCAGAGAGGGGTGAGTTCTTCTTTCGTTTTTTTTAAGCCTAAATATTTATGTGCTGGTAATTGTTTGAGTGAGTTAAGCCACCTTGTGATTAATGGCACTTAATGTGCTGAAAAATTGCACATGATATGTTGAATATTAAAAGTTAAGTGAGTTTCTTAATTAAATGTAGAATAAACTATATTATTAGGAAGGATAATGGTTAAAAATAATAGTAATAATAGTAAAAATACATGAAAAGCCTTGAAAGGTAAATATTTTATTATAAACAAAGGGGTTTTCTTTACTGAAATTAAAACTAAACTATCTTAAAACATATTTATTTGAAGAAATGGTTTTATATAAACCATTTATAAGGTTAAAGTATTCTTTATACATTTGCCAAAGTCCATTTAAAATTTCTAGAAATATTTCTGGTACAAGCCAAAGGGATTATTTTATTGTTTTATTATCAAAACAAAAAATTCTTTATAAATATTTGATATTTTATACAGAGCCAAGCTGTATATATATTTTATATATTTGTTTTTTATCCAACCAAACCGATTTTTGGCTCTTGGCTTGCCGTTGTCTAGACAAATCAATATAATCCAGACGGCGAATGGCCCAATATAAAAAGAACTACATACGTATAACAAAAATATTACGCATACGCCCGGCTGGATTCAATATCCTCTCACTTCCATCTTTTTTTCTGCATCCATCCGTCCGTCCGTCCGTCTGTCGTCTGTTTTGGCAAAAAACTGCAGCAAATTAAACAAAATTTTTAGATTTCCTCAACAAGTTCGGCTTTGGTTTCTTTTTTTTCGGCTAGATTCTCTCTTTTCGTTTTTTTACTGTCTGTCTGCGCCGCAATGTACGTATCTATATATATATATATATATATATATATATATATATATATATAGAATATGTAAATATATATAAAAACGTCTATATTTGCATTTGACAAAATAAGTGCAAGGCAACGGAAAAAAAGGAAGAAAAATGCCGTTAAATGTTCCAGGACACAGACGACCGACCGAATGAGAGAGACAGGGAGAGAGGGACAGTGTTGAGGGTAAGAGAGATGGGGCTAGCACCAAGAGACAGAGACAGGGACAGAAGGGGCAACATCAATGGCGAAAGTAAAAACAACAAGAAAGGCAGTCAGGAGTCTCAGAAGCCGAAGATGAGAGTTCTCTAGCCATATAATTATTTATAAGTATATTTTATATACTTTTTAAAGTTTTATATATGTATGAAAAATCGTATTTATATAACAGTTTTATAACAGCTTATAGAAAAAAATAGCTTTTGGATATATAAAACTTATTCTGGTCAACATTCTTGCTTCTTATAAAAATGCAACTAGATTAATATAGGTCCATTGATTTATTTACTTCTAAATATATCATTCCAAGTGTAAAATGTATAGAAAAACCTGAAAAGCTTGTGACACTTTTATAACAGATAAAGAACATACCGAATGGGGTACATTTTATATTATAATAGTATAAGTAGCGAAAATCTCATCGATATAACAGTTATATAACAGATTTTCATAAAACAATAGTAATAACTCTTCCGGTCTAGATTTAAAATAGTAATAAATTTATAATTTTAGCTAGGAATATAAAGGTTTCTAAGTTTGCCCTCCGGATATCTTCCTCCGATTCTGATCATTATTTATAGTATAAATATAACAGTTAATACATATAATTATAACAAAATATTCCCTATATCCTTCAAGATATTCCCCTTTTGGCAAGGGTATTTTTGGGCAAGAAAATAAGCAGCAAAAGCAGGCAACTTGCGGTTGCAGGGGCGGTGTGTGTGTGTGTGTGTGTGTGTGGCATTTGGGTCGTTATAGGGGGGTTAGGAGGGAAGGGAATGGAGGGGAGGGGGCAAATGTAATTTGGCGGCGCTTTCGTTTTTCGTTTCTTTTCGTTTTCGCATTTCGCCGAAACTCGCACTTCAATTAATCAGACGCTCTGCTGCAGTCGCCACCCCCTTTAACCCCCTTTGTGTGCGCCGTCCACCGGCTTGTACCCCTTAACCCTTGTCCTTCCAAGTGCAAGCGCCGTCCTGCTTCTGGACTTTTTCCCTCACTGTGTGAGTGTGTTTTTTGTGCAAGGACCTCTCGATGCATACTCACGTATATATAGATATACACACATACGATATATATTTTTATATATATTTGTATAAATATGTATAAAAAGGGGTTCAAATTTTAAGCTGCTTCTTCTATGCCAGGCTTGTGTTTTTGTTGTTGTTTGTTTTTTGTTGTATTTTTTGGTAGGTTGATGATGCAGCTTTTGTTGGTTTCTGAGCTTCTTTCTTTACAGTTTTATTTTTATTTTCATTTTCATTTTATTTTTTATGTTTTATTTATTATTATTATTTTTGTTATATTTTCTTTTGTTTTAATTTTTTTTTTTTTGGCAATTTAGCCTCTAAGCTTCTTTTGTGTGTGTGTGTGCGTGTGTGCGGTACAGTTGCGTTTTCTATATGATTAAGTGTATATGCATGTTGGCCATGGATTTTTATGTAGCACACTTAAATGCTCCAAACAGGCAAGGATTTTTGCTATGATTAATTGTTAGTTTTAAGTGAGGAAAAAATGGTGGAAAATTATTTGAAATAAATTTAAAAATAATGTAAATACAATAGAAATTTTATATGATGTTGTTTAGCTTTAAAAAGATTTTCATTTAAGAAGTAATTTTATATTT